AGATGAAATGGATAGGAATAGGAGTGTGTTCCTCTGGGGCTATGCAGGACAGGGAGCTGGGCTAAGTCTTGAAATGGATGCCTAAGCGTTTAGAGCTAGAGAGGGACAAGGTCACTCCAGATACCTCACAGAGACAGACTTTGGATAATGAGCTTGTTTGAGATCTGAGCAAAGGAAGCAGGGTCAGCAGGCTAGAATCCAGTCTGAAAGGTATCTGGCAACTTTTTCTACCTGTTTATTTATCCCATAATTATTGACTGTTTATTGAATCATTTACTACGACCTGGCACTGACAAGATACCAGGGACGCTGCCACCACTAAGACAGGGGAGAACCCTACAATCTAGGAGATGACTCTTAACACTCTTAAGGAGAAAAGACAGTAATCTTAAAAAAAAAAAAAAGATTTATTTATTTACTATGTATACAATGTTCTTTCTGCATGTAACACCTGCAAGCCAGAAGAGGACACCAAATCTCATTACAGATGGTTGTGAGCCACCTTGTGGTTGCTGAGAATTGAACTCAGGACCTCTGGAAGAGCAGACAGTGCTCTTAACCTCTGAGCCATCTCTCCAGCCCCGACAGTAAATCTTAAATTATTGGCAGATTCAAGCACACAAACAAGACCCAATGAGAGGTGTGGTCAGACACCTACTTTAAACAGAGTCAACAGATTCAATTCTCTAGGAAGACATTAGAGTTGAGATGGGAAGGAGGCACAGAGCAAAGGCCCCGGGGTTGGAAAATGCAAGAAAGGATGTGGATCTGTTCAAGACCAGGGAGAGGTCAACAGGAGTAAGAGCCTCCTGTGTGTTGCAGGCTGAGTGAAAGAGAGCTGAGCCTAGTGCTGCAGGCTTGGAATGTGGGGGCAGGAAGATCAAGAGTTCAAGGCAAAGAACTAGAGAGATGGATGGCTCAGTGGTTAAGAGCACTTACTGCTTGTGTTAGATTCCCAGCACCCACATGGCGGCTCACAGCCATCTGTGACTCCTGTTCCAGGTGATTTGACACCCTTTTCTGGACTCTGGGGGAACTGTATGCATATAGTACACATACACAAATGCAATCAAAACAGTCATGCACGTTAACTTAAAATAATAAATCTTAAAAAAAAAAAACTGGGTGCAGTAGTTCATGCCTGTAATCCCAGCACTCAGGGAGGCAGAGGCAGGTGGATGTCTGAGAGTTTGAGGCTAGCCTAGTCTACAAAGTGGAGAGTCAAGGCAGAAGAAGAAGAAGAAGAAGAAGAAGAAGAAGAAGAAGAAGAAGAAGAAGAAGAAGAAAAGAAGGAGGAGAAGAAAGAAGGGTTCAACCCCAGTCTCAGCTACATGGTGTGTTCATGGCCATCATCGGTGACACGAGACACCAAAATAAATAAATAAATAGAGGTCACACCAGGAGGTGGTGACACATGGTTTTGGGAGGCAGAGGCAGGGTGACCTCTGAGCTTGAGGATAGCCTGGTCTACATAGTGAGTTCCAGGACAGCCAGGGCTACCCAGGGAAACCCTGTTTCAAAAAACAAACAACAAACAAAAACAAAAAAGACAGAAGAGAGAGCTCAAGGGAGACCAGCAAGCAGACACACCCTCGCCACACCTTCAGCTGCAACTGCAGACTCCAAGAAGGTCAGGACACAGAGAGTGGCTTCAGGAAATGAGACCATGACAGAGCAGTCTGCAACACCTAGCCTGCCGGAAAACTCACAGACAAGCCATGTCATCTTTAGGACAAATGAGTAGCAGGCGTTGCTGGGTGACAGTCAAGAGACAGCGAAACCTGTGAACTGAGAGGCAGAGGAGTGACACTAACCAAGTGTGGTCAATATTTTATCTAAACTTTTACTTATTATGTGTATGTGTGGTGCATATGTGTGGACATATTACAACATGTGAGCAGAGGTCAGAGGACAACGTGTGCGGGTTTTCCTTCTACCAGGTGGGATCCAGGGATCAAACTCAGGTCATCAGGTTTGGCATCAGGCACCTTACCTGTGGAGCCATCTCCATGGCCTGGTTTTGTGAAAAGGTTTCATGTAGTCCAGGCTGGCCTCAAACTCAATATATAGCCAAGGATGACCTTCAACCTCTTCCCCTCCTGACTCTAGAGTTCCAGGTTTGCGGGTGTACACTGGGGATAGAACCTGGGGCTTTGCAGATGTTAGTCAAGCTTTTTACAAACTGAGGTACATCCCTAGCTCCTGGACCACGAGTTTAAAACAAACAAACAAACAAACAAACAAACAAACAAACCTCCTTTATTTTAAAGATACAAAACTATTTTTCAATGACAAGAAATGTTGGCTGACACTTGCTTCAGAATAACTGGAAAGGAGAGTCAGTGGTTGTTGAAGGTGGACAGTAGTTATGTGGGAGTCCTTTTTACCATTCCATTTCTAATGGTTTGTTAAACTTTATACTCCCACGTCTGCTCACCATCATAGCTTCTCTTGTAGGTATCTGATTTTTTTTCTATATTATAGTAAAGGTGTTTGAGCACCGTTGGAGCCCTTGAGAGGCCTGAGTGGGGGGGAGTGCCACCCCCTCTCATTTCTTCTCCGTCAGTAGGCCCTCACTCCTGCCACCTCCTCCTACAGCCCTCCCTGTCCCCTGGTGCACTAGTCTGCTGCGCCCTGGCTTCTCCTGCTCCCGGGCGCCTCATCGCCAGTGGCTGAGCTCTGGGCTCCTCAGAGATACTTCATGCTCCAGAATGGGCCCCAGTCAGTCCCAGAGGAAGACATGAGGAGAATTTTTGAGACAACACCATGACTCACCACAGCTAATGACTTCCCAGAAGAGCGATGGTTGGACACTGGGTTGCTTTCTCCAAAGCAGAACTAGGGAAACTCATCCTTTGCCTGATGCTCATGAGGAACATGCAGGGTCTCTCCATGCATACTCACTGCAGAATGCTGTTGCAGCCAGCAGAGTCGTTGGTGAAAAGAGAAAGAACAGGTTGCTCCCATTGCCTAGAAAGCTAGACCCATGGAAAAGGGTCTTAGTCCATTTTTCTATTGCTATAATAAAATCTCTAAGGTTGAGTCCTTTATAAAGAGTAGTAATTTAGCTCCTGACTCTGGAAGTCCAAATGCCCGGCCCATCTGGTCAGGGCCTTTCCCCTGCGTCCTAGCATGGTGGCAGCATTGCAGGAGTGTTGCATAGCTAACTAGAGCAGGCACAGGGGTTGGAGAGAGGCCTCAGCCATTACGTGCACTTGCTGCTCTTGCAGAGGATAGTTCAATTCCCAGCACCCATGTCCCACAACTCACGTATAACTCTTGTTCCAGAGGAATCTGGTGTCCTCTTCTGGCCTCCAAGGGTATTTACACACACACACACACACACACACACACACACACAGAGAGAGAGAGAGAGAGAGAGAGAGAGAATTATTTTACTTATTTATTTTATTTCATGTGCATTGGTGTTTTGCCTGCATGCATGTCTGTGGGAGGGGAAAGGACCCTCTGAAACTGGAGTCACATGGTAGGTGTGAGCTGCCATGGGGTTGCTGAGACTTGAAACTGGGTCCTCTAGAAGAGCAGCCAGTGCTCTTAACTGCTGAACCATCTCTCCAGCCCCACTCTTTTTTTGCATTGGTGTTTGGCCTGCATGTATGTCTGTGAGTGTCAAATCTTGCAGTTACAAACAGTTATGAGCTGTCATGTGGGTGCTGGGAATTGAACCTGGGTCCTCTGGAAGAGCATTCAGTGCTCCTAACTCTGAGCTGGGCCATGGCACCACAAGCCACCTTTAATCTCAGCCCTTGCGTGGCAGAGGCAGGTGGATCTCTGAGTTGGAGGCCAGCCTGGTCTACAGAGTGAGTTTCAGGACAATCAGAGCTGCACAGAGAAACCCTGTCTCAAAAAAACAAAACAAAACAAATATCAAGACATAAGGCTCCATTGAAAGTACAATAAGGAATGGCCCTACAGGAAAAGAGCTGTGTCTGCTGATAGCATTGGGCCAGGCAGGAAGGAAGCCAGGAAGCAAGTACTGACTCTTCCTCCCTTGCCATCTCCTTCAGGGCCTCCTGTTAGCTGAGTCTACCCGGAAACCGATGTGATGGGGTCCCATAGGAGTTAGACTCTTGGGCCTGGGGATGTAGCTCAGTCGGCAGTGTGCCTAACACGCACAAAGCCTCGGGTTCTGTCATGTAAACTGGGCATGCTGACACACATACTCTCAGCACTCAGGAGGTAGAGGCAGGGGGATGAGAACTTGGGGTCACCCGTGCCTACCTGGTGAATTTAAAGCCAGCTTGACACATAAGATCTTGTCTCCCACACACGCTAAAAGGGGGCTTCCGATCCCCAAAAGATGAACTGAAGGCAGGTGGAAGGTGTTGACGGAGAATAACAGCGCGGCTGGAGAACCAGTGTTGAGCAGTGTTGAGTGTGTGCGGGGGCAAATGGACATAATGGCGAGAGAATGGCTGAATGATTAAGAGCGCTTGCTGCTCTTGCTGAGAACCCCAGTATGGTCCCTGGTACCCACACTGACTCACACCCACCCTTAGCTCTACCTCTAGCGAAGCCAACGCCCTCTTCTGACTTCCACGGGCAGCGGGCACACGCACAGCACGTCTACATGTGCACACACATAAATGTGTGCAGGAAAAACACAAATCTAAAAATTTTTAAAAACGAGGAAATCCTCACTGTGTCCAGTTGTCTTTGGAACAGTGGACATCAGTGGGTAGCCTCAGGGGACCCAAAGGAACACGAACTTTTTCTTCCTTTTCTGTGAGGGTCTCATTTGACTGAGGATGGTCTCAAAATCTCTAAGTAGATGAGGATGACCTCGAACTTCTGATCCTCTGGCCTCCACCTCCCAAGTGCTTGGACGAAAAGCATGTACCACTCTACCTACTTTATGTGGTGCTGAGGATCAGCGCAGAGCTTCCTGCGTGGCAGGCGGCACTCTGAGCTACGTCCCAGCCAAGGGTCGGCTTCTTGGTGGGGAAAGCTCATTCAGTCCTGTGCTCCTTTGGTCCCAGGGGAGCCCTCACAGCCTCGCAACGGCAGCTGGCCCTTAAGTGAGAACGGGAGTGACGCTGACACTGCCCTGGCTGCCGGCCTCACCTTCTCCTCCTACTACCAGCACTCCTCGCCTGTGGCAGCCGTGCTCATCGTGGCCTATGTGCTCATTTTCCTCCTCTGCGTGGTGGGCAATACCCTGGTCTGCTCCATCGTGCTCAAGAACCGGCACATGCGCACTGTCACCAACATGTTCATCCTCAACCTGGCTGTCAGCGACCTGCTGGTGGGCATATTCTGCATGCCCACCACCCTTGTGGACAACCTCATCACTGGTGAGTATGACCCCGGGCAGCAGGAAGGTCTTCACCCTTCGCTTCCACTTCCCAGCTAATGACAGAGGCTGGAGAGATGGCTCAGTGGTTAAGAGCACTGGCTGCTCTTCCTGAGGAGCCGGGTTCAGTTTCCATGCACCCACATGGCAGCTTACAACTGTCCGTGACTCCAGTTCCAGGTGATCGGACACCCTCCTACAGACGTACATGCAGGCAAACTACCAATGCACATAAGTAAAAAATTAAAAAAAAAAAAATGGAGATTGCTGAGCTGGCCTTTTGGCCAAGGAGCCATTGTCTCAAACTCTGACAGTTGGGGATGAGAAAGTAACCCAAGAACAACAAGTCTAATAGGCTAATAATTATCTTTGTGCCAGGCATGATGGGACGTATGATCTGTATGTTATCTTAATTAATCCCAGAATTATCCAATCAGGCATGCTTTGTTATTATCCTCATTTCACGGGTGAGGAAACAAACTCAGAGCAGTTAACTCGGACTGGTCTGTAATTACTTAACTTGTCAGTGTCAAGGCCAGTGTTCTCACACTCCTTTGTCTAATCACATCTGCTCTGGCTGCACTCTTGGACAGAGCTCTCATGGGCAGAGGTAGACGGGGTAGAAATAGGAGGTGGGTGACTTTCTTCTGCATGAAGACCTGGAAATTCATTTCCTTCATATCTTCTCCTACGGAAGGTAGTCTTGTCCTATCGGTCATGAGCTCCCAGTGGCTGGGAGGGTCTGTGTAGGGACTGGCTGGCCGCTGAGCCGAGATTGGATAGGAGGTCTTTAAATCAAACTAGACCATCTGCCTCTAAATTCCTGCAGCTGTCAGAATGTCACACAGACATCTTTGATGAGCAGCATTTCTTGCCTTAACATCTGAGTTTTTGAGACTCCAGGCAGGGAGTCACCAGCTTCCCACACTGCGGATCCCCCTAGAGGTCAGAGGGGAAGATTCCTCAGTTCTCAGGGTGAGTATGACCCCGGGCAGCAGGAAGGTCTTCACCCTTCGCTTCCACTTCCCAGCTAATGACCGAGGCTGGAGAGATGGCTCAGTGGTTAAGAGTGCATATGGCTCTCCAGAGGACCTGAGTTGACTTCTTGTCCTACAACTGACTGTAACTCCAGCTCTAAGAGATCTGACACCTCTGGCCTCTATGTGCACCTGCACTCACATGCACATGCCTAAACACAGATACACATGTATACATGCACACACACATATACATATACATGATTAATCTTTTTTTTTTTTTTAAGTCATGAAAAATGGGCAACATCGATGGCCTAGAACTGTGATGTCTTTGTTGTTAGGTACTTTTAATGTGAGTGTTTTGCCTATTTTAATAATTTTTATTTATTTGTTTTTTTTGAAACAGGGATTGTGTGTGTAGCCCTGGCTGCCCTGGAACTAGCTTTGTAGACCAGGATGGTCTCAAATTCAGAGATCTGCCTGCCTCTGCCTCCCAAGCGCTATGCCACTATGGCCCAACCATTACATTTTTTTTTAACCTTACTTTATTTGTATAGGTATTTTGCTTACATGCATATATGTACACCCCATGTGTCTTCAGACCCCCTTGAGCTGGAGTTACAGATGGTTCTGAGTCACCATATGGGAACTGGGAACTGAATACAGGTCTTCTACAAGATCAACAAGTGTTCGTAGCCATGGAGCCATCTCTTCAGCCCCCTGAAACAATTTTAGACTTAAAGAAAAATAGCAAAGCTCCTAAAGTAAAGCTTTCTATGCCTGCCCTTGCTCTGAATAATGACACAGAGACTTATATTTATTTATTATAAGCTTTAGGTACAATAGGTGGGCAGGGACCAGGTGGTGGTGGCACATGCCTGTCATCCCAGCACTCAGGAAGGCAGAGGCAGGTAGATCTCTATGAGTTCAAGGACAGCCTGGTCTACAAAGTGAGTCCAGGACAGCCAAGGCTACACAGAGAAACCTTGTCTTGCAAAACAACAATAACAAAACAAAAACCAAAGACAAAAATCCCCAAATCAAACCAAAAAAAATAGCCGGACACATTCTGATCTATTCTAACCTGACAACACTGGCCTGGCCTACGTCCTAGCGATGTGGCCCATTACTGCCATCTTAGTCTTGCCTTGGCACCTGTCCCCACCTGAGACATGTCCCCCTTCTGGGGATGGAAGTCCCACCTTTTCCTCTCCTGCCCAGCTATTGGCTATTCAGCTCTTTATTTGACCAATCAGAAGGTGATGAGATTAATATTTACAAAGTGCTAAGGCAAGAGATGCTTAACAATACCAAAGTCTGTACTCTGTTCTGGGGAACAGAAATCAACATTTGAATACACAGTGCATGAAAACATCTTCCTGCTAAAGCTAGCATAGAATCCTTGTATGTTCTTCAATCACCTTCCCCAAAAACCATAATGGAAAGGAGAAAGCTTCTACCTGCCATTAAGTCATCTGTGGAGCTTCCTTGACTTTTGCTAGTTTCCCATAAATGTTTCTAGGCATTTGAACCAGAATTCCAAGAAACAAAACTGAAATGCTCAAATCTTGAATGGTGGAGCCAAGTGTGATGATCTGTAATGAGACTGAGACAGGAGGATCACCAGTTTGAGGCCAGCCTGGGCTACACAGTGAAACCTCAAACAGAAAGCAAACATCAACCACAAGGTCATCGCAATAACAGCAACAACACAGACCACTCCAAAGGCCACTGTAACAATAACAGGCAACAATAGCAGGCGGTTTTTGAAGCATAAACACTCAGGTATACAAACAATGAGATGACATTTGTGATGCTATAACACGCCTGAACAGTGGATTATGTTCATAATGGGTCCATATTGGAGGCTTGCAATTGTATGAATCCAGCTTTATAGCTGTAGACATCTGGAATACCATGGCTGTCTTAGTCACTGTTCTGTTGCTGTGAAGGGACACTGAGGCCAAGGCAACTCTTATGTCAGAAAGCATTTAGGTGGGGCTTGTTTACAGTTTCCGAGTCCATTATCATAGTGGCAGGGAGCATGGCAACACACACATTGCTAAGAGCTGCATCCTGGCATAGATAGTGAGAAGAGAACTGAGCCTGGCATGGCTTTTTAAAACTTCAAAGCCCACCCTCCAGCAAGGCCACACCTCCTAATCCTTCTAATCCTTTCAAAAGGGTTCATGCCTTGGTAACTAAGCATTCAAATATATGAGCCTATAGGGGCCATTCTTATTCAAGCCACCACATTGGCAGAGACAACCCAAGGCTTTTGGGTGACTGTCAGATTTCACCCTGTGGTTCAAGCTAGTCTGGAATTGGCTGTGCAACCAGGCTGGTCTGGCCAGTAGGATTCTCTCAATGCTGCCTTCTGAGCTCTGGGACGGCAGCTGTGTGCTACCGCACCTGTCTCTGAAGACATTTGATGGGCTCAGTCAAAAAATTTGACAGGCCCCTTCTATATAGAGTTATAGACAGTAGCTCCAACAGGGAAGATCTTGAGAAACTTTATTTCTCACAAATGAAGACATAGAAACAAAGACATCTCTTTATTGATGATATTTCAACATTTGTAGTAGACACAGATAAAGTCAATGTGGCAACAAAAGAAAACACACACAAAATAAATCAGGGCTGTCTAAAAGTCTTTGTATAATTTATGTCTCCAGTGTCCAAAATGATTTGGAAGTGAAAATTGCAGCAACAACATCTTTCCAGGTTTCCAGGTACTCTGCCTTTCTGCCATGACGCAAGCATCCTGGGATAGTCTGGGCACACTGAAACCCCTTCCCTAGAACCCAGTTTGAAACCTCCATCCTACAGCTGTCCCCCTCCACGGAATGAGAGGTTTTCAATTTTGGGTTTAAGGCTTTCAGTATTTTGGAGTTGACCATTTCTGGAATGTTGCTTTGGGGCGTTTAGACTCAGTCTCTATGCCATTCTGGGTTAAGACTGGTACCACTCGTCTAGCCCAAGGTCAGACCGATGAGCTCACACTGCTTTTAATCGTTTCCTTCCTTCCTTTCCCAGACCTCAGTGCGAGAGACTGAAATTAGGCATCACTCATGCTAGGCAAGTACTTTATCACTGAACTACATCCTCAGTCCTCTTTCAAAGGAAAAAAAAAAAGATTTATGAGGTTAGAGACATGGCTCTGGGGGTAAGAGCACTTGCTGTTCTTGCAGAGCACCCAGGTTTGGTTTTCAGGCCCCTTATGGTGGCTCACACCCCTCAGTGAACTCAATCCCAAAGGTTCTGACCTTGTCCAGTTCAGAGGGCTCCAGGCATGCACAGCGCGCACATATATACATGGAAGCAGACATTCATACGCTTCAAAGACATGTTTATTGATTTACTAATTTATGTGTGTGCGTGTATGTGCACACATGAGTGTGTGTTTGCCCACCACATATGTGTAGGTGCCCACAGAGGTCAGAGTCGAATCCCACACTCCTGTGTGGGACTTACAGGTGGTTGTGAGCTGCCATGTGGGTGCTGGGAATTGAACCCCAATCCTCTGCAAGAACAACTAGGGCTCTAAACCAGTGTGCCACCTCTCCAAACCCCTACTTCTTTTTAATTTTTACTTTTACACGTGTATGCACACCCATGCATGCATATATGTGTACATTTTCTTGTGTGTGTGTGAGTGTGTGCATAGGTGTGGAGGCCTGAACTTGAAATCTTCCTCCTTCAACCACCTGTGTAGCTGGAATACAAGTCTGTGCCACCAGGCTCAGCTCATTGAAGTGTTTTCTTTGCTCCAGCCAGTCTGCTACAGGTTCTGGGTCATGATGTCTTCACGTTTGGAAGCTGCTGGTTTCATTATTTGCAATATAGGCATGTCTGATGTTTTCTCTGATGCCAGGACGCATACAGCTTGGGTCCTGGGACCCTGAACTAGGGGTGTTGAGGTGACTAGGGCAGCTGTAAAGCAACCACTTCCCCCTTTCTTTAAAGGACAGAGGCACATAAAGCTGGGGTCAGATTGGGTTCTCTAGCACTACAGATGCAACCCAGAACCTTAGGTTCACAGGGGGAAGGGTTAGCTAGTCTCAGTTGGTGGTCTCTGTAGGTGAGTAGACTCAGGCTGTAAACATCTGGGAAGAAGTTGCTCGTCTTTTCATACTTTGGTCAATCATTCATAAACATTCATACCCTGGAGCCAGACGTGGTGGCTCATGCATTTAATCCTAGCACTCATGAGGCAGAGACAAGTGGGTCATTGAGTTCGAAGCCAGCCTGGTTTATAGAGCAAGCTACAGGACAGCCAGGACTAAACAGAGAAACCCAGTCTTAAGAAAGAAAAAAAAGAAAGAGAGAGAGAGAGAGAGAAGAAAGGAAGGAAGGAAGGAAGGAAGGAAGGAAGGAAGGAAGGAAGGAAGGAAGGAAGGAAGGAAGGAAGAAAGAGACCCAATCATATTTTGACTCTGGAGGAATGCGCTGTCATTCTTCTTGAGCCTGGCCCATATGGGTAATGGCTGTGCCCACACCAACAATATACATTTACTGAGAATGTCACTCACTCCGTGCTGTCTCTGCTCCCTACACTTGATTAGATTCAGTTTAGCTGTTCAGGGGAGAGCAACACAGATAGGTGCAGAAGGCTTGATTCCTGAGGTAACTGCTGTCTCTCAGCTGTGAAGGAAGCGCTTCTCCCTTTCTAATTATGAAGTTCCCTAGCAGATGATTCTCCGAGACTATGCAAATATCAGGCTCATTATATTTTTGCAGCAACTTCAGAGTGCCTTGACAGTTGCTTGACTGCCCACAACAGTGCTTCCATCCTGTTTCCTCTTAATGGCATTCACATCCTCTGTCCTTAACTAATTGGATCTCTGCTTCATGGCTTTTAATCCAACATTATTACTTATTTTGTTGCATAAACTGCTCTAGGTTTGGCTATTAGAAGCTCACTGTACCTGGCTTCTGTGTCCTTCCCATATGCTACCATGTTTGGAGTATTTCTTTATAGCCTAGTTCCACAGAATAATCTGGATCACCTCATGTTTTTCATGTATCAGTGCTGGATTCAACTAGTTTTTTAGGAAGCCTTGTTTTTCATTGGAGTATAATCTTCATTTTTATTTGTGCATGGAAGTGTTTTGATTGCACATACGTACATGTACCGTGTGCATGGCTGATGCCCACAGAAGTCAGAATTGGGCATCAGAGTTATAGATGGTTGTGAGCCACCATATGGGTGCTGGGAACCGAACCAGAGTTCTCTACAAGAGCAACATGGTCCTAGCTGCTGAGCCATCCCCATAGGCTAAGGAATATAATATTAACAAACGAAGGTCTGACTTCTAGGTGTGCTTTTCAATGTTGGGGGTCCTGATTCTAGGCTCCGTGAAGGGGCAGATCTGGGAAATGAATACATATTGCTTTAGAGTTCTTTGGCACATGCCTTTTTATTTTATTTTATTTTGTTTTGTTTTATTTTTTTATTTTTATTTTTTTTTGAGACAAGAGTTCACCATGTAGCCCTGGCTGGCCTGTAGCTCACTATGTAGCTCAGGCTAACCTGGAACTCACAGAGATCTGTCCACCTCTGTTTCCCATGTGCTGAGATTAAAGGTGTGCACCCAGCACACCTGGCTAGCTCTTTACTCCTGTGTCTAGCCACTGCCTGCATTTCAGAAACTATGGCCCATACTCATACTTCAGATTCCGATCCAACATCAGAAATTTTAACTTACATTCTCCTTCCTTGTTTTTTGTTGTTTGTTTCAAGACAGGGTTTCTCTGTGTAACCTTGGCTGTCCTGGACTACACAATGGCTTTGTAGGCCAGTCTCACAGAGCTATGCCTGCCTCTGCCTCCCTGATGCCACCGAGCCCAGCTTTCCTCCTTCCTTATTTGTAGCTTTGTTCTCAATGGGGGAAAAATGTTTATCCATAGCATGTTGACTTATTTGTCTGGTCCACTTCAGTATATGTGATGATATTATACATGATAACCATAATAGGATAATGATACTGTGAGGAAGGAATGGCCTCACTCCTGGGCGGAACAATAGGATTCACATACAAGGCAGGGCTAGACGGACCTAAAAATCAGAGACAATCAACTGTCAGCTAATGGCCATCTTCCCAAAAGCAGTGTCCATATTGGTGGAATGGTTGGCTCTTCGTTCACTTTTTCACATAGACCTAATGACCCCTCCTGGCCCTTTTGGGGGGCACTGGCTTACGTGGCTGGTGCTGGGCGTCTTGTAGGGAGGCATCTCTCACCCTGTGGGGACCTCTGTCGTTACAGGTTGGCCTTTTGACAGTGCCACATGCAAGATGAGTGGCTTGGTGCAGGGCATGTCAGTATCTGCCTCAGTTTTCACGCTGGTGGCCATCGCCGTGGAAAGGTGAGACATGTCCCTGGGTGACCTGGGGCTGGCACTGAGAGAGCTGATAGCTCTGACACTGGGCTAGCTGGACGGCCGTAGGGAAGGCCCGCTGAGCATACCACTCTATCCCTTTCTAGAAGACACAGACCGCTCCTGACATGGTCTCATAGTAATATCTGGGGTCTGCGAAGAGCTCAAGCCAGTCTGCCCCCTAGGCATCAGGAACCCTACCTCTCCTTTGTCTGAGCCCTGGCAGTCAGCTAGAGGAGCCTGTCTGTAGACAGGCTGGAGAGGAAAGGTCTCTTTCTGTTCCTTTATCCCATCTCCTAATCGCTGGTTCCTGGAAGTCCTGGTATTACTCAGTCTACCATTCCATCACTTCGGTCACTGAGAAGATTCTAGATTAAGCACGGTTCTGTACATGTGGCCAAGGTGTGGGACGCAGCCCTGGGTCAGTGAGGCTTTGGACCAGTGCCTAAGCTTCCCTTCCCAGAACACACAGTTGTGACTCCCCCCTGGCTCCGTACTATCTTCAGTGCGGTGAGGACTCCTGATTGGGAGCCTTCTCCCAGGGACTAGGAGGTAGGTAGACCAGCTGGAGATGGCTTTTGTCCTCGTCACCAACCCACTGTGTGATGTTGGGCCACTTATTCAGCTACTTGGAAAGGAACTGTCTCAGTAAAATGGTAAATGCCCTACCGAGAGGCTGGAGACTTCAAATGGCTGTGTTTGAAAAGTTCATAGACAGTTCTTAGCCCACAGTTCAAACACAAGCTGCTACCACGATTTCTTCCACACACCCACATCCTCCTCCTGGTCCCTCTCTCCAACACCAGCTCTTTTCAGCTCTGCCCTTTCTGGAATCTAATGACCCCCTCTCCTTTCCACCTCTGTGCCCCATCAAACTCTATTTTTACTGGTTTTGTTAGGCTGGCCTTGAACTCTTCATTATGCAGTCAAGGATGACTCTAAAAATCTGATCCTCTTTACTGCCTTATCCTGGGCTCACAGACATATGCCACTGTGCCCCATTTTACCTGGTGCTGGGGACTGAACTTGGGGCTTTGTGCATGCTAGGTAAGGGCCCCCTGAACCCCAACCTCTGTGAGGTAAGCAGCTGGCATGATGGGGCTGGGTCCCCTCTCCACAAAGCTATTTGTGTTATGTGAGCTCTCCCCTCCTCTGACTCCTTTTTCTTGCCTTTTTAGTTGCGAGTCTTAGTTGTTAATGACAGAACCATCTCTTCAGCCCTCAACCTTTGTTTTCTTATCACTGTTGAAAGACATGAGAATGTAAAACCTCTCCCAGTCATACTTAAGTTTATCAAGCTCCGCCCCCTCCAGGTAACCTTTCCAAACCATTTCCTGAGTTCATAGGCTATAGTATAGCTCATGGGCTGAATTCATAGTTCATAGTACTATAGGCCTCTGGAGCCACCTGTTCTCTGGAGAGGTGAGCATGTCTGATACTATGTAGCCAGAAGGACAAGGTCATACAGGCTGAGGAAGTGAGGCTTGAATAGACCATGGGAAAGGGGTGTAAGTGCTTTCAGGTTGGGACGATAGAGTTGGCAGGAGGGCAGGACACAGGTGAGAGAAGAAGAAAGGGCCTCTGGGCAATGTCAGTACCACACCTGTGTTCAAAGCAGCCATGCGGACTTGTAAGAGACCCATCTTCCACTCTTCCACTCAAACTATTGAGCCTGACCCCACAGTCCTCAGGAGGGGTATTTCTACTTGCTGGCACAGGTGGATGAGGGAGGCATTCTGGGAAGGAGCGATCCTTTGTTTGTTTGAGACAGGGTGTCTGTCAAATAGCCCAGGCTGACCTCAAACTCTCTAGCCAAGAATAACCTTGACCTTCTGATCCTCCTGCTTCTGCTGCCCAAGCAGTTTTTGGGTTTGTTGTTGTTTTGCTTTTTTGTTTTTGTTTGTTGTTTTTCTTCAGTCTTAAGCATTCAGAACACCTGTAGAGTGGTGTGGTGGGGTATCATCTTCATTACCGCATAGATCAGGGTTCCTTTTTTCTTTCTTTCTCTCTTCTTTTTTCTCTCTTCTTTCTTTCTTTTCTTTTTTTGAGGCAGGGTTTCTCTGTGTAGCCTTGGCTATCCTTTGTAGATCAGGCTGTCCTAGAACTCACAGAGATCTGCCTGCCTCTGCCTCCCCAAGAGCTGGGATCGCAGGCATGCGCCACCAGGCCCAGCTGATTATGGGCCCCATTTTGAAGATAAGGAAACCAAGGTCCAGAAAGCCCTTTGAGCAACTGACTTTTCTAGTCATCCATTCCTGTCTTGATCTAAACCCATTCTAGGACACTTGTCTGACACCCACTTTCGAGAGCATGTAGTTAATCAATGGCCTTTGAACCACTACAGAGGACAGCCTCTACCTCCTTCACCTCCACCAGCGGCTCCCAACCCTGGCTGCTTAGAAAAGAAGGTGCTGAAACCCCTTAACTCCTTTCCAGAATAATTATAATGGAGAGGGGTTTCATTCATTCATTCATTCATTCAGCATTTTGCCTGCATGTGTGCCTATACACCAGAAGAGGGCACACATGTAGATCTCACTATAGATGGTTATGAGCCACCATGGGGTTGCTGGGAATTGAATTCAGGACCTTTGGAAGAACGGCCAATGTTCTTAACCTGTGAGCCAGTCAGGATTTAGCAAATATGTTTTTCTTACATCAGTATAATGGTTAAGATGACCCAGGGACGGCCTGTCACCTATGCTCCACCACAGATCCTCCCAGCTCCTGAGCTTTTCAGGGGAACCCATAAGGCTAGAGATTATATCTGTTACATTTGTGCTGTGCTGCTTCGGGGGATAAAGGTGCTGTCACCAAACCTATTGACTTGAGTTCAGTCCCTAGGGCCACATGGTAGAAGGAAAGAAGTGACTGCTGACAGTTGTCTTTTGTGTGGAGAATGAAAGGGACAGAGGGAGAAAGGGAGAGGGTGAGTACTAAATAAATGTGTTTTTTTGTAAATAATTTATTTAATTGTATGTGCATTAGTGTGGAGGTGTCAGATCCCTTGGAATTGGTGTTTCAGACAGTTGTGAGCTGCTGTGCTGCTGTGTGTGTGTGTGTGTGTGTGTGTGTGTATGTGTGTGTGTGTGTATGTGTGTGTGTGTTGGGAATTGAACCCAGGTCCTTTAGAAAAAGTAGACAGTGCTCTTTAACCACTGAGCCATCTCTCCAGCCCCCAATAAATGTTTTTTTAAAAAGCATTTGTGTATTCACCTAGCCAGGCTTCCCAAGTACAGAATGTTCACCACAGATTAGGAGTGGTGCCTGCTACTGAATGAAAACCAATCAATCAATCAATCAATCAATCAATCAATCAATCAACAAAGGACATGGCTGCTCCTAGGTATGGTGGAGGAGAAAGTTTAGCATAGATATGTGGCTGAGCATAGCCAGAGGCAGACAGATTTGGGAGTCCAGGGTGGTCATGACCCTGAACCATGTAGGGAGAGGAGAGCCAAGCACAGCAGCCAGTAGGCCAAAGTATAAAAGAAAGGGTAGGTAAGCAAAATGTCCGGATTATATAGGGAAGAGCCTCTGGGGGAAGGGCAGCCCAGCCCCGGGGCTGGAGACTTCAGGGTAGAAAGCCGGATATGCCAGCCATACCCTGTAACAGCTAGGGACTGAGGGATGCTGGGAGAACCTGGAGACCAGGTCCGCTTTGGTACGTTAAATGGACACTTCAACTGCTTTTCCTAAGTTTGAATCTTAACACTACCATCTAAGCTGTCTTAAAATAGCCTCTAGTTCGCCGTTATCTTCCACCTCACCTATTTTAAATCCAGCCTTGCTCTTAGAGCAATTTAGTGAAGTGAGCTGCCTCCCTCGCAAATGACAAACCAATTTACTTGATTAACCTCAGTAGTGTCTGAGCTGTCGCCGGATGCTGCCTCAAGTGTAGTGATGAATGTCAGGTATCCTCTTCCAGCGGCACCGGATGCTGCCTCAAGTACGGTGATGAATGTCAGGTGTCCTTTTCCAGCAGCCCCTAGCCAGGTCAGCTCTGGCCGTTGTGCCTCCGGGCACCCTCCCAGAGCCCTCTGCCTCTCTTCCCGCCCCCCCCCCCCCCCGCGCTGCAGGTTCCGCTGCATCGTGCACCCTTTCCGTGAGAAGCTGACCCTCCGGAAGGCGCTGCTCACCATCGCGGTGATCTGGGCGCTGGCGCTGCTCATCATGTGTCCGTCGGCGGTCACTCTGACCGTCACCCGAGAGGAGCATCACTTCATGCTGGACGCTCGCAACCGCTCCTACCCGCTCTACTCCTGCTGGGAGGCCTGGCCCGAGAAGGGCATGCGTAAGGTCTACACCGCCGTGCTCTTCGCGCACATCTACCTGGCGCCCCTGGCGCTCATCGTGGTGATGTACGCGCGCATCGCGCGCAAGCTGTGCCAGGCCCCGGGCCCGGTGCGCGACGCGGAGGAGGCGGTGGCCGAGGGTGGCCGCGCGTCGCGCCGCAGGGCCCGCGTGGTGCACATGCTCGTCATGGTGGCTCTCTTCTTCACGTTGTCCTGGCTGCCGCTCTGGGCGCTGCTGCTGCTCATCGACTATGGGCAGCTGAGCGAGCCGCAGCTGCACCTGCTGTCCGTCTACGCCTTCCCCCTGGCACACTGGCTGGCCTTCTTCCACAGCAGCGCCAACCCCATCATCTACGGCTACTTCAACGAGAACTTCCGCCGCGGCTTTCAGGCTGCCTTCCGTGCGCAGCTCTGCCGACCGCCCTGGGCTGCCCACAAGCAAGCCTACTCCGAGCGGCCCGGCCGACTCCTGCGCAGGCGGGTGGCAGTGGATGTGCAACCCAGCGACTCGGGCCTGCCATCCGAGTCTGGCCCCAGCAGCGGGGTCCCAGGGCCTGGCCGTCTGCCGTTGCGCAATGGGCGCGTGGCCCACCAGGATGGGCCCCCGGAAGGGCCTGGCTGCAACCACATGCCCCTCACCATCCCAGCCTGGAACATCTGAGGTGGTCCCGAGAGGGCGGGTCTGGTGGGCCTGTGGCCCTGACTCTAAAACGTGATCCTTGGACAAAATAGCAGTATTAGAAGAGGGTGCTAAGATGCCTCCTTGATGAAAAACTAGATGGTGGGTAGCTGCCAGTGATGGCCAATCGGGCAGCCCTCAACCTTCCAAACCCTTTCTGCTCTGGAGCTGTATATGGACAACTCCTTCTCGTCAACATCTCAGAACCCTTCTCTGCAGAGACTCTGAGGCCCAGGGAGAGGGGACAAGGTCTCTCCGATGGAAATCCCCCTTGACCCACACTCTAGTGAGAGTCTATTGTATCCACATTTCCAGTGGTCTCCCTAGGGCCCTCTGAGGCGGAGCTCAAGAAAACGTTGTCACCCTAACTAGGTGGCTGGGAAGAGGTGACCTCTGCGCTTACACACCGAGTCCCTGTGATGGGGTCCCCTGTGCTGTGTTGCTGAGGCAGCTCCCCCTCGGCCCTTTCCTGGGAAAAGTCAAGCTTTCCCCCTGCTAGCTCTGAGTGTTGGCTTTATTCCAGGAAGCGTTCAGGGCAACACCCACTTCACAAGGTCACAACTGAGCTGCTGCAAGAAGAACCCTAGGGAGCCTGTTTAGACTCAGGCTCAAGGCTCTGGGTAGTGCCAGATGGAGGCTCCTCTCCCCGACCTCCACCACCACAGCCAGGCAGAGCTTCCAGCACCACCAACAGCTCGTGGGTGGCAGGCAAGGGGAAAAGGAAGCCAGCGCGCAATGCCAACTCTGCCTTCCGGAAAGATTTCACCCCGCCTGTGAGCACAAGCTTTCTCGTAGCCTTTCCTTCATGCTTCCTGGGAAGGAGAAGTTGCTCAGTCGCTGTGGGGAAAGCCCCGAAGGCCACACACAAACCCTTCCACAGTGTGTGACTTGTGAGCCCTAAAAGCAAAGGAGATCCCACATGCACCCCAGCAATCACCTTGACAGACTGGAGCTAGGAAATGGGTTGCTGTTGCTGATTTCTCCTGCAGTCTCAGTAATCTGCGCTACACCTGACACTTTCTCCTCACCCTGTGACCACAGTTGCTAGAAATTTAAGGAATTAAAAACAAAAACAAAACCTTCCTAGGATTCAGGGCTCTGAACTCTTACTGTTTCCTGATGGAAACACACACTGATGGGCCATTTACTGTTCCTGGGTCCATCGGGAGCAATGGCCACAGTGGCAGAGAAACTGCCTCGCAGTTGTACATGTTCAGGTGTGTCTCTGGACACTGTCATCTGATTCATAAAATGTTCTTGTCATTTCACAAAGTGACTGAAGCCCTGTAGGGCCAGGGTCCCAGAGCCACAGGCAGCAGCGTTACGAGAGGCTTGTCTTTGGACAGCTTGAACTGTGCCCTGCCTTTCAAAGAGGGTGGAGGCAGGCATGGCGGGGTGGAGAGCTGGAAACTCCCTGCCAAATGATAAAAAGCAACGCCCACAGAATGAACTGGAGTACCGAGGTTGGGGCAGGAAAACGGTTTCATTGTGTTGGCCTTGTGACTTCCCGCCCGAGATGTTCTGAGCAAATCCTAGGCTGAGGAAGCTGCAGATGCCAGGGTCGGAAGGCCAGGAGTGGTCTGTGTAGGTAGACAAGCTGTTGCCTGAGCTGGTGCTCTGTATGGTCCTCACTGCCGGTGTTGCGTTCATATCATGTGTATGGACACAGTGGCCTGAGAACTGGCCTGAGAACTGGGAAGACTTGTGACTCCAGGCTCTAAAAATAGGCCAGATCAAGAGCCATATCAACCCCGTCCCTGCGGCCCCTGGGGGCTGTGGGAGTTGCAGCCTGCTCTCTGCCCTGGGGTGTCAAAATTCACGGCTCTCCTCAGAAATCCCGTCCACCAAGGCCTCTGCTCTATTTTCCCCAAACTCCCGGCTTTGAGAATGCATGACTGCCCCGGTGCAGCACTCTTGACACTGTGGCATTCCCTGCATTCCCTTGTTCTTGGCATCGCTTGAGTAAGAGCGGAGGCAACCCCTGCCTGCCCACAGATTTGGGCTGAATGCTAACAGACAAGCAGGCAGCATGTGTATGCAGGGAGTTTGTTTCTTTGTACATGTGTTAAAATACACCCAATGTACAATTTGTCCCCTTAGCCATTTGAAGTATACATTTCAAGGACACTGAGTATTCGTGCTGCTGTGTAACTGTCCACTCACCCTTTCTAGCTCGACATTATCCCAAATGGAAACTGTGGACCCACTGATACCAACTCCCCAATCCCTGTTCCTCCCAGCTCCTAGTAGCCACCATTCTTTCTCTCTGAATTTCAAAGTTCTGTCATTCCCTACAAATGAAACTACTCAGTATTTTTCCTGAAACTACTCAGTATTTTCTGCCTCAGCTTTGACAAGTCCTATGCGTGTTTGGAGGTGTTAGATAATAAAACCAAGTTGTGAAAATAGTGCCTGTGTGAACCCTGAGGACGGAGACCCCAACGCTTCTCTCAACTTGGTATTTAGGGGTGACAGACCCAGTGCTCAACCCAGCTGCTCTGCGCTCCCTCCTCTGTGTTCCTTCTTGGCTAGAGAAAACAATCGTGTGTTCTGTCCATAGGATGTTGTATGATGCTGTTTTTATAACTGTAGCTCTGTCAGTCTCTGTGTCCTGACACTTGGGCCTGAGTGCGCCTTGTGTGGTCACCGAACTCTAACACCATGGAGGAAGACGTCTCTGGAGCAGACATGTTCCATCTGTGCCCTGTTAGGTCTCCTGAGGTGATCTGTCCTTTCAAGGGTGGAAAGTTTGGAGATGAACTGAGCCTGTGATGGGGAAGAGAGCCAGGGGCCTGTGGACACCGAGAACCCAACCCAGAGGGGCTCTTAGAGGGATGCTGTGTCCTTCCGTGCCATGTGCCACAAGAGCAGTCATTCTCCAAATGGGTCTCCACAGATGAATGGGCTCTTGACTTCCCTAAGACCATACGAACACATCTGACCAATGTGAGGGAAGGCGGTGCCCACTAGGGCCCACAAACCACAGACTGGCCAGCCTTGGACCGCCAACTTTCTGTAGAGGCCTGGAGGATTCATGGGCTGACTCCGGTTGGAATGGAAGGTAGAATTGGCAAAGGAATCCGGGAGCCCCCTATCATTAACCTACTGTGTATTTATCCTGAGTCCAGGTGCCAGCAAGCCTGGGGCTAGAAGGACAAAGCATTGCTCTTAGGTTCTGGGCCTCTTTGCATCCTTTTCCTTAGCTCACCTCTCAGAAGTGCCACTGAGAAAAGATAGATGAGAAAGAGGTGACCAGCAGCTTCATCACAAGCAAACAATGTTGAGGCAAAACAGATTCCTTGTTGAATAGCCCAATTATAGCTGGCTGCTTCTCTCTTCACAAACATGCCCCTGCAGAAGCATGGTGGAAGTTTCACAAAATACAGATAAGCAAAGAAGAAAAGGCAAAATGCTTCAACTATATGGGAGATACACATTCATTTTGTGAGCATAGATACATACATGTTAAATTTCTGTAGCACCCTATGGAGGGATAGCATAAGCTAAAATTCACCCATCTACTGTGACCATTCAGCAATTGTATATTTGTTTCACCAAGGATATTTTCATTCTTCCAAAATGCTCCCTCATGTCAATGTATGCCCTTCTCCCCTGACCCCAGAATACCCTCCATCTGGTTTCAGAAGGTTATGAATATGGACTTAGACGGTGGATAGCATTTTTGAGTCTGTCTCCTCTTGTTTGACAGGATGACTCTGAGGTTTGCTCACGTCACAGCATTTCTTAGTTTGTTCCTTTTTGTTGCTGAGTAGTACTCCATTGTGGTGACCAGCATTTGGGTTAACAGTTTGATTATCACGTGTGAGGCTGCTATGCTCAATCCCTCACAAGCCCTTCCGTGCACACATATTCTCAGTTCTCTTGGTGAATAGGGTGCTGGGATGTGCGGTGAGTATATACTTCTGTCTTCTAGCAGTGGTACATTCTAGCACTATATTTTGTTCTCACCAGCACTGAGCTGCAGTTGTTCTGTGTTTTTGCCAACACTTAAGATTATTGTTCTTTCTAAAGTTCTCCTGATGACTAGTGATATTGGGTATCTTTTCATGTGTCTACTGGCCATCCTTTTATTTTAACCAATTATTGTATAAGTTAATGTTGTTGTGGCAACTGAAGGCAGGGAAAGGTGGTTCTAGCTCACAGTTTACAGGTGCAATTCAATGTGGTGGGAAGGTGCGGCAGCAAGAGGGGTCCAGCTATGGGGACAGGACCATGAGGCTGCGATCCCTAACCATGCATGCAGCTGCCTACATTTGGGATGCCCAGAGGTGTTGTCTACCAAGTGATTCCAAATACAGTCAAGTTGACAAAGGTTAACTGTCACAATTATTATTAGCCTGGCCTTGAACTCACTAAATTGCACAGGCCTGTCATCAAAAATAGCCTCAAATTCTAGCACTCAGGAGGCAGAAGAATCTCTGTGTGTTTTGGGCCAGCCTGGTCTACACAGTGAGGTCCAGGCCAGCCAGGGCTACATGGTGAGACCATGGCTAAAATAAAATAAATGTGTTTATGCAAAACAAAAGGCTAGTTTTGGAGGGTTGGGAATGCCTCTCTAAGGAGGTAACATTTCAAAAGAGACCTTTATAGAGAGAAGAAGCTACATGGCAAGCTGGCCGGTGTGGAAAGACAGAGCCAGGCAAAGCAAGCAACATCTGGAAAGGCCATGAGACAGGCAAGGCATAGATGAATAAGCAAAATGCTTTTAGCAATTACATTTCCGGTCAACTCAAAAATATTTTATTCAGTGCCTGTTAAATCACAAGCATGGGCCAATGAGAAGGTTTGGTGGGTAAAAGAGATTGTTACCCAAGCCTGGTAACCTGAAACCTGCCATAAAAGGAGATAAGTGATTCCATACCGTTGGCCTCTGACCTCCACAAATACATAAATGCACCTATACAAATCCACACCAACACATGCACACACAGACGCAGGCATGCACGTACGCATGCTGGTACCCCAGGATTGGTAAGCAAGTGCTTTTTGTCTGTTGCCTCTCAATGGAGCACAAGCTGAGGCTTAAGTCATGGTCTTTTCTCCCCCTGGCTGCAGTGACCTAGCTTTCCTATATTTGAGAAATTGAGGTTCAGAACTAAACCAAGAGGCTTGATGGAGGTTTCCTATAATCCTAAAAATAAGCCCAGCCAGCCACAGGCTCCAGGCTGCTGCTTTGCTCTCAGGCCACATTTCCATCACTTTCAGAGGCTTCCAAAGATTTGAGATGGAGGGAACAACAGCTGCCCAAGGTGCAAACACAGCCCGATCCAACACCACACCAAGCCCTCCAGGGAGCCCCCCCCCCCCCCCCCCCCCCCGCCCTGCGGTCACGGAAGGAGAGAGACGGCTCCTGGCCTGGTTGTCACATCCTGCCCTTTGTTTGTGTTTGTGTTTGTGGTCCCTTGTCACGACCTTTGAATCTGGCCGCCAACAAATGTTGCAGTTGTCATGTGCAAGCAACCAAATAAACATGGGTGGAAAAACCCAAGCTTAGCGACTTGGAGATGTGAGTTTATCTGCCGCATGGCCAGTGGAAGTATTAAATCACCCTGTGTTTGAGGGGTTTTCACTACCCCTACCCCCCAGTACCTCACTGCCTTCCCTTCTGCACAGAGGTCACAGTAACCAGACACTGAGAAGCCTTCATTGCTGTTCTGGCTCCCCAGGAAGGACCCCTTGTTTGTCCAGTGGTCCCTCAAGCCCACATGCATCCATCATAATCACCTCCTTTATTTTCTCCTTTTTAGGTCTTTGGAAAATGATCCTGGCACCGCTGCCATAATTTGTAGAAAATAACTTGTGAAAGAATTTGAATGTCTCATTTTTAAATTCCGTTTCCTCAGTAGGTTCTCTCCTTTTGTGTCTTCATCACAAAAAAAGAAAAGTCTCCAGGCAAAGCCGCCAGCTCTTTCAAGAAGATGGAGAATAAGAATAGGTGATGGGGCCTCTCAGCCTCAGGAACACCATTTTGATGGAACCAAAAGGAGTGGTGTGGAGTGGTGGCCCTTGCTGTGACATCTACATAGCCTCTAAGAGGAGAAACCCAAACAAAATAGCAGCTTTTGTAGACTACTATCCAGTGGGTTTATTTCATTTTAGTTTTTAAGATTTAAAAACAAAAAAAGCTAAGTATGGTGATGCACACATTTAATTCCAGTACCTGGGGGAGGAGGGAAACCAAGGCAGGCAATTTAAAAGTATGTATATGTGTGTCTTTGGAGGGAATTTACATGTGGGAGTAGTGAGAGACCAAAAGATTAAAAATTAGCAGCTATTATGTAAGGCCTGAACTAGGTGGGTGGAGAAGTCCAGGAATGCCCTGCGGGGAAGAACCGTCTTTTGCATTCTTTCCCCACCCACTAGAGATACAGTTGCTAGGAAGCTGGCCCATCCCCCTAGGGAGGGGCACCGGATCATTAATGGTCTGGGGACCTTCCTATAGCCAGTCAATTCAAAATGTAGCATTTTGACCAATAGATGCTTGCCAGGCAGGAATTGCCCCTGCCTTGGGCATGCTGGGAGGGACCAGAATTTTTTAAATCACCCAACTAGCCCGAGCACTGCACGCTCGGCTCCCACCGCTTCGGTGGTGGTGTGTGGGCCCAAGCTGCAGCTTGTAATTTACAATAAAAAGAACCTCATGTATTTACAGCGGAGTCTGTTTATTCCCCGTCTTTTGAGGTTCGTGAACTGGGCAGAACAGTAGCTCACTGATGCCAGAAGATGTTGGATTTTCTGGAGGGGGTACTGAGAACTGAACTGGAGTCTGATGCAAGAGTAGCAGGCACTCTTAGGCCAGGTGGTGGTGGGTGGCACACGCCTTTAGTCCTAGCACTCAGGAAGCAGAGGCAGGTGGATCTTTGTGAGTTTGAGTCTAGCCTGGTCAACCAGGTCAGCCAGGGCTACACAGAGAAACCCTATCTCAAAAACAAAAATAAACAAAAAAAGAGTAGTAGGCACTCATAGCTGTAGAGCCATCTCTCCACCTATTTTGTCTTTTAGACAGGGTCCAGTTTAGTCTAGGCTGGCCTCAAACTGGCTGTGTAGCCAAGTATGACCTTGAATACTGCCTTCACCTCCCCAATAATAGGCTGGTGGGTGTGCATCACCATGCCTGATTTCAGGCAAAGTCTTATTTTTAAATATTTTACTACTTAATTTTCTTTTATTATTTATGTACATACCTATGTGTCTTGTGAGTGTATGGCATTGTGCGTGGGTGATGGTGGAGGCCAGAGGAGGGAATGGGATCCCCACCTCAACAGCTGGGGTTAGGAGCAGTTGTAAGCTACCTGGTGTGAAGTGCTGGGAATCAAACTCAGGTTTTCTGGAAGAACAGCAGGTGTTCTTAACCACTGAGCCCCTGTGCAATGTTTTAAGTTATCTTTGTAGTATGGTGTCTAATGGCAGCAGGAGCACCAGGAAGTCAAAGCCTCTTTGAAATCAAGGAACCTTAACTGAAGGCTAGAGTTCTTGAGGGGGATCTAATATTACCCAGAGAGGATGGGAAACTGTAAGAGCTGGCAGAGCCAGAGCAGAGCTGCACACTCAGAACATATGCCCTAGCTTAGTCGATGGGCCCTGAATCCTGAGGTCAAGCAGAACCCTGGGCTGCATCCCTTTTGGAGGAAGTTTGTCAATGGGGTGGGCTTTGTGGTTTTAAAAGCCCATGTCAGGTCCAGTCTGTCTGTCTGT